GGAGCCAGCCAACCATGGACTTAAACCCATGAAACTGGGAGCCAAAATAAGTCTTTCCTCCTTTGAGTTGTTTTTCTCAGGTATTTTGTAAATACTAACTAAAAACTGTCTAATGAAGCAGGGAGAGAATAATGAAATTATCAAAATAACAGTAGTATGTTGGATAAATTCTCAAGAATAAGGCAGTTAGAAAAAAAACTTTGTTAATGGCAGATATACCATAAGAATGTAAAATAGCATAGTGGCAATTCCAATTATAGATGAAATCAATGTCAAGAGGCTATATCTTGACAGCAGGCACAGACTTTTCAGTAAAGAATAAAGTAATCATGAAAATGAGGTAAATAAAACATTTGAGATTAATTAGTGTTGTGCTTTAAACAACAATGACTGCTATTTAGTCTTTGTAAACAACTGAGATATAGACTATAATTTTTTCTTGTTGAATTTAATTAAACCTTCTCATAGCTGCCAAATTGAATTAAGGGCTTTGCTAATGGAAACTAGGAGATAATGATGGGAAGAGTTAGTATGTAATTGAGATGGGGAGCAATTTTTGACATATTGGAAAAGTCTATGAAGAATTAAATGGGATGCCTTGGAATTTAATTGAAGTAGATGATGCCTAGCTCCATGAGTACGGTAAGAATTATGGTGATTAAGGTGTGGAGTTTACATTCCATTTATTGGCCTGATAATCAGGCCTTGTTAATTACAGCAAATTACTAAACTATACTGCTGCTTTTGTTGATTTTGGATGATGATTTTTACCTAAATGTTAACCTCAAGGTTTGTGCAAGTTAAGGTTTATGGAGAGATTATATCTAGAATTTAAATAAAACAGTTATCATGCAGAGAAACATTAGTAGAGAAATGATATGGTATTTGCCAACATTTCAGAGTGTGGGTCACCAGCTTAATTAACTGACTTCACTTAAATGTAGTGGGGTATGAGAGCAACCTTTTAATTCTCTCTTGTAGCTTTGAGTCCTAAAATGTATTCCTGCAAAATAACTCTTGTTTTTCATATTTATGATTGCATATCAAGTTATTAGGAGACAGTTTGAGATATGTTAAAAATTTTGATTTAAGTTGGACATTAACATTTGATCATATTAATGTTAATTCATAACATTTAATTTGTTCAGAAGTGGTAATTGTGTTTGCTACAAGTAAGAATTTGTTTCAACTCGTGGAATTAGGGTACAGATTTTATGTGACTAATTATGTTAATTGAGATGAGGTTAATATAAAGGCCGTTTAAAATAATATTTTGTAGGCTTATCAAAAATGATATTGCCATATTCTATTATTAAAACATTTCAAGTTGATAAGAAGATTTTATTTATTTATTTATTTATTTTTGCTGTGGTACTAGGTATTAAACCCAGAGGTGCTCTGCCACTAAGATATACTACCCTACTCCTTTTAAAATTCTGTTTTGAGACAGACCTGATGACATACACCTGAAATCTCAGGGATTGGATAGGTGGAGGCAGGAGGATTGTTAATTTAACACCAGCTTCAACAATTTAGCAAAGTCCTCAGCAATTTAGCAAGGCTTTGTCTCAAAACAAAAACAAAAACAAAACAAAACAAAACAACAACAACAACAAAAACCTGGGGATCTCACTTAGTTGCCAAGGCTGGCCTTGAATTTGCAATCCTCTTGACTCTGCCTTCCAAATAACTGGCATTACAGGTGCATGTCACCATGCCTGGCAATATAAATAATTTTAAAAACATTATCTTAAATGTAAATTTACTTACTGCTCTAATATGATGATGGTGATTAAGGATGCATATAAATCCTAACATTATTAGAGACTGAGCAGGATTATTAGCTTGTTTGTTCTAACGAGAATGAGGAGAGAAAATCATAGTGAATGTTACTCCACACGAGTGTGTGTGTATTACTGGGAACTGAACCTAGGGACATTCTACCACTGAGTTACATCCCTAGCCCTTTTTATTTATTTTTAAAATTTATTTATTTATTTTTAAAATCTCTCTCAGTTGCCCAGGCTGGCCTCTAAGAATCTTCCTGCCTCAGCTTTCCAAGTAGCTGAGGTTACAGGTGTGTACCACCATACCTGGCTACACCTCAGGAAAGTGGTGGTTTGTCATGCTCCAATGAGAAGCTCCTTTCCTAATGCCTGGCCGACTCCAATAGGCCCATGCTTCAGGCTCACGTTAATGCCAGGGCAGTTCTTATAGCCCCAGGCTCTGATGGCCCTGTACACTATATCTCTAAAGCCTTCCCAGTTCTACTTTGGCTTACACAAACTCAGTCCAGGGCTACTGCACTGCTAGGCAGTTTCTGTAGCCCTGCTCACTGGACTGGCATGTACAGACCCAACCCCTAGGTCCACTCTAGTGCCAGGGCAGCCTCTGTGGACTGAGGTACCAGGCCAGCCCCTGTGGATTCAAACTCCAGACTGGTTCCAACAGACACAGGTTTCAGGCCTGTGCCCATAGTCCCATACTGCTGAGAGCCATAGCCGAGTTGGAATGACATGGCATTTTTGACAGAACGAGAGGTGATGCCAGCAAGCCATTGAGATGATAATGGTTATGTTAAGCTGTGTATTCAATTGTATATTAGACCCCTGCTGTCCTCCTCGGCCTGCTACTTTGGAGTTCTAGCAGGGATTCCTGGAGAGTTTCCATTGGTTGGGGAAGTGCCGGAGGAGGGATTTTCAGAGGAGGGATTTCCGGTTGGTGTGTAGTGTGTCCCGGGAGAACACCAAGTGCATGGTGTTCGCGGGAATGCGGAGAATAAAGGAGTTCCTGTTTTGAACCTACAAGGCTGTGTGGCGGCTCAGTTTTTTTGTGCCCAGCCAGACTGCAGCACCATACTCCAGAAGACCTAAGGTCCAGGATAGTCCCAGAGGACCTAGACTCAAGAACATCTCTTGTGGATCTAGGCTCCAATGTAGCCTTCACAATCCCAGGACCTAGACCTACCCTTGCTGACTCAGCTATTAGGTCCATTCCAAAGCCAAGTAGGTCTCCAGGCCCCTGAGCTGCAGGCCAGTTCTCATGGATCTAGACAGGAGATTAATATTCATAAAATAGGCTCTAGGCTACCCTCCCCTACCCCCCACAGACCCAGGCTGGTCCCTGTGGCCTCAGAAGCATGGACCCAGGGTCTAGACCTGTTTCAGTGAACCAGAGGTTCAAACCCACCCCAGTGGTCTCTGTGCCATGTTGGCCTTATAGATTGAAGCTCCAGGATCATCCCAATGGACCCAGAATCCAAGCGAACCACATGAACTGAAGCTGTAGGCATGTCTCCTTGGGACCAAGTGCCAGTCTGACTCCTGTAGACTCAGCCTCAAGACTCATCCTCACAGAATGAACCTACCTTAATGGCCCTGGTATTAGGTCAGCCCTCAAGGACCCAAGATCCAGGTTCACCCACCTGCTTACCCAGAAGCCATACCTGCCTACCTGAGATTCCAGTGGCAAGCCCAACCACAGACCACACCAGATGGCCTGTCCAAAATCTCTGTGTGGGACTGATTGCTGAGGGATTTCCCTGATGGAGCCAGACCAGAAAGACTAGAATAAGTAACTACTTCAAATGTACAGATATCCTCATGCCCAAAAGGATCATGATCAACCAGGAAAGCATTGCATCTTCCAAAGGAAAAGTAACTGACCCTAAAGAAACAGAGATTTATGGGGCTGGGGTTGTGGCGCAGCGGCTGGCCTAGCATGTGCGAGGCCCTGGGTTCAATCCTAGTACCACATAAAAATAAATAAAATAAAGGTATTATCTTCAACTACAATTAAAAAATAAATTTTTTAAAAAACAAATAAAAAAAAGAAATGGAGATTTATGCATTTCCTGATAAAGCACTAAAAAATAATCATCTTAAATAGCCAAATGTGGGTTGGAGATATAGCTTAGTAGTAGAGTGCATGCTTAGCATGCATGAGGTCCTGGATTTGATCCCAAAGACCTTAGGGAAACAAAAACAAAACAAAACCCACTCAGGAAGCTGCAAGAGAATTATTGAGGTTTGGATATAAAGTGTCCCTCAAAACCTCCTGTGCTGATGCAAGAGGTGAATGATTTGATTATGAGAGCTGTCACCTCAACAGTCCATCCTAGTCTGAATGGACTATTTGGGTGGTAACTAAGCATGGGACTGAGTGGAGAAGGCGTGCCACTGGAAGGGTTCATCTTCCTTGTAGCCCCTTCCCATGGATCTCACTAAGTTGCCCAAGCTGTCCTCACAGTGTGATCCTCCTATCTCAGACCCCCAAGTAGCTGGGATTACAAGCATACACCACCCCAGTCAGCGTGTTTTACCCTTTTAAAAATTGGGTTGTTTTTCCACTGTTGAGTTGTGTGAACTTTTATAAATTTTGGATATTGACCTCTTATTAGATATATAGACTGCAATTTTTCCCCCTTTCCCAAATGCTATCATTTCATTTTGTCAGTTGTTTCCTTTGCAGCGCAGAAGCTTTTTAGTTTGACATAGTTCTATTTATTTATTTATTTTTGGTACCTGGGATTGAACCCAGGGGTGCTCAACCACTGAACCACATCCCCAGCCCTTTTTTTAATATTTTATTTAGAGACAAGATCTCACTGAGTTGCGTAGGGCCTCATTAAGTTGCTGAGGCTGACTTTTTTTTTTTTTTTAAAGACACATTTATTTAGCGTCATGATCAGACTATGACACTTAGCAATCAACAGCATGGGTGCAAAACAAAACAAAACCAAAAAAACCCTACTTTAAAACCCTTTGTTGGAATGCTTTATACTTTCCAAAGAACAGAAACTAAAATAACCTGTTGTACAATTAGTCACAAATACAGTCCTCGAGTTTTTTTGCCCATTCACATGAGTATTATCTAAACCATGTCTTCTTTGCAGCAGCTAGGCCCTGCCACCACTGTGCTTGGCTGAGTTCACAAATCTGTTGTAACCTGTAGCCTCCCTGTCACTTCTCTGGCTCTCCTCTCCTGCTAAGTTTTGTTTCTTACCTGGCAGTATTAAAACCTCTGCCACTGCCATAGCTACTGCTGCTGCTGCCATAGCCACCTTGGTTTCGTGGTTTGGCAAAATATTGGCCTCCACTACTGTAAGGTCCAGAGCTTCTGCCTCCAAAGTTTCCACCCTTTATGGGTCCAAAATTTGATGACTGATTGTTGTAACTGCCCAAATCATTGTAGCTTCCACCACCTCCAGAATTGCTTCCATCATTACCAAATCCATTGTAGCCATCCCCGCTGCCACCATATCCACCACCACCACGACTGCCACCAAAGCCACCATGACCACTGAAGTTCCCTCCACAACCGAAATTGTCATTTCCACCAAAACCACCTCCACGACCACCACCAAAGTTTCCAGAACCACTTCGACCTATTTGGCTAGCCATCTCTTGCTTGGACAGGCCTTTCCTCCCTTCACAGTTGTGGCCATTCACAGTATGATATTTCTGAATGACAATCTTATCCACAGAGTCATGGTCATCAAAAGTTACAGAAGCAAAGCCCCTTTTCTTTCCACTGCCTCGGTCAGTCATGATTTCAATAACTTCAATTTTCCCATACTGTTCAAAATAATCTCGTAGGAGATGTTCTTCAGTGCCTTCTTTAATGCCACCAACAAAGATCTTTTTCACAGTTAAGTGGGCCCCTGGTCTTTGAGAATGTTCTCTTGAGACAGCTCTCTTTGGTTCCACAACTCTTCCATCCACTTTGTGTGGTCTTGCATTCACGGCTGCATCCACTTCCTCCACAGTGGCATAAGTGACAAACCCAAAGCCTCTGGAGCGCTTGGTGTTTGGGTCTCTCATTACCACACAGTTCAGTCGTGTGAGTGTTCCGCTTCTGACTCTCATCAGTTGTCTCAAAGCTCAGCCCGACGATGAATAACTTCCGCAGCTGTTGGAGCTCTTTAGGGGACTCTGATTTAGACATGATGGCAGCAGGAAGAGAGACTTTAACGTTGCTTTCTCTCGGGCGTCCACGGGCAGAAAGCTTTTTTTTTTTTTTTAAATAACTTCATTTATTTAATTTTTTATGTGGTGCTAAGGAATCAAACCCAGTGCCTCATACATGCTAGGCAAGTGTTCTAGCCTGAGCCACAACCCCAGCCCCTGAGGCTGACTTTGAATTCACAATCCTCTTGCCTCAGCCTCCCAAACCACTGGGATTACAGGCAATCGCTATCGAGCCCAGAACCCCATTTATTTTTGCTTTTGTGGCCTGTGCATTTGGTGTGATATTAAAAATAAATAAACAAACAAACAAACAAATAATAAATAAATAAAAGAAATTATTGCCATGACCAATATTCAGTAGTTTTTCCTGTGTTCTCTTCCAGGGGTTATATGGTTTTAGGTCTGACATTTGGGTCTTTTATCCATTTTGAGTAGATTTTTGTGTATATTATGAGAAATGGATCTATTTTCATTCTTTTGCACGTGGCTATCCAGTTTTCCCACCACCTTTTATTGAAGAGACTATCCTTTCACCATTGTGTCCTCTTGATGCTATCTATGGTCAAAAATTAGTCTATTAGACTGGATGTGGTGGCACATGTTTGTGTTCTCAGTTACTCAGGAAGCTGAGGCAGGAGGATTGCAAGTTCAAAACCAGCCTCAGAAACTTAGTAAGATCCTTCCTCAAAATAAAAAATAAAAAGGACTCAGGATATAACTCAGTGGTAAAGTGTCCTAATACCACTAAAACAAAACCAAAACAATTTAGTTGATTGTATATGTTTGGATTTAGTTATGAGATCTCTATTTTATTCTATGGGTAAATGTGGTTTTGTGCAACCACCATACTGTTTTGATTACTATAGCTTTGTAATACAATTTTAAAACAAGAAATATGAAGCTTCCAAATTTGATTTTCTATCTTAGATTCTTAGAATTGTTTTGGCTATTTGGTGTTCTTTAATGATTCCATTATTTTAAGATTATCCCATCCTAATGTGAAGAATATCATTGGAATTTAGATAGAGATCACTGATTGTAAGATTTTATGTGACAGCATTGACAATATTAAGATACTGAACTCAGTATTTTCTTTTCACTTCCTTCATTTCTCTCCCCTGCCCCGCCCCAGTCCTGGGAAGCTCAGTATTTTAAGATTTTTTTTTTTTTTAAACTTATTGCCTTTGTTTTGATGATTGGTCATTTGTGGTCTTAAGTGCCTGGAGAATAATAGAACCTGAATGTTTGATAAATGGCAAATTTAATTTTCACTCAAGAAGTTGATGATTTGTCACTTCATATGTGTGTAATTTCTATCATTTCTTTTTTCTCCCTAAATACACAATTTTGAAGGTTTTTTTTTTTTAATTTATTTGCCCCATTATACTACAGTCATCCATGTATTGATGAAAATCACTGTGTGTGCCCTAAACATTGAGCCTCTGTCCTCCAGGCCATGAACACCTGTTCTTTCTCCCCTAAGGCTTTGACAGAAGATAAATTTTGATGTTTAAATAATGCCCTTTTGAACAAAAGGATCTATTTCAGAATAGTGCGTTATTTTTTTTAAAAAAACTTTTAGTTGTAAATGGACACAATACTTTTCTTTTTATTTATTTGTTTTTATGTATTTCTTTTTATTTATATGTTTTTATTTATTTGTTTTGAACCCAGTGCCTCACACATTCTAGGCAAGTGCTCTACCACTGAGCTACAACCCCAGCCCAGAACCATGTTATTTTAGTTAGCATGTCTTTCTCTTTTTTTTAGGGAGGTGGGTAAGTACTGGGACTTCAACTCAGGGACACTCAACCACTGAGGCACATCCCCAGCCCTATTTTGTATTTTATTTAGAAACAGGGTCTCACTGAGTTGTTGAGCACCTCGCCGTTGCTGAGACTGGCTTTGAACTTGCGATCCTCCTGTTTCAACTTCCCAAACTGCTAGGATTACAGGTGTGCTTCATTGTACCCCACTGGCATGTCTCTTTAGTCTCCTTCAGTCTTGTCTTAGTTCAGATGAGACAACTGAAACAATAAACATTTATTTCTCACAGTTTTGGAAACTAGGAAGTCCAAGATCAAGTGCCCACAGATGATGAGGTTATAGTTCTCATAATCCATTTGATCTATGAACATTTCTGCATTGCCTAACATGAGCTTTGTGTGGGATACCTCATATCCAAACCATAGGAACACTTTTTAGTGCTTTTAAGAGGATGATTTTATAAATGATTTCTACCAGATATAACAACCTAAAAATTATAACAAAAATATTCATATTATAATAATAATTTTACAAATAGCAATTTGAATGTGTTAATATCAAGATGAAGAAATTTAGAAAACTATATTGAGAGCCTTAAGTAAGGGGAAAAAACACCTATCTATAAACAAGAGGACAGTCTTTAAAAAATATTAATTTGTTCCGAATTAATATATAGTTAGTTATAATTACAATGTCAGTGAGATAAATTATTATTGTGTGGCTGATTGTTATGTATATGATTTTAAATTGTATTTATTTTTTTAAACAAGCAATGAAAGTGATGGTATAGATTAGTGGCAGAGCACTTGCCTAGCATATGGAAAGCCCTATTTTCAATCCCTGGCACTGAAATAAATTTTTTTTCAGGCAAGGATAACCACAAAATTATGGAAGACAAATAATAAATTAAAACATAAGCCTAATTCTGCCATATATAAATATATGGATGCCACCATAATAATAACATAGTCCTATGGGACAACAATCTAGGAAGCAGTATGATAGAGTGGGAAAAAATGGGACTGAGTTCAAATTATGATTCATTTCCTTTGTACTTAGCTTCTCTTTGTTCCTTTCCTATATATGAGAATTTACTCATATACTGTTGACTTAGACTAATTACTGTTGCTAATAACACAATACCAAAGACTGAGCAAGGTGGTTTGCTCACCAATACTGGAGGTTGTTTGTCCTTCCAAATCTGACAGCTCCCATTCACTGTGCATGCAGACAGGACTGCAAAGGGAGGTGAAGGGAGAGGGAATGCATATTCATTGAGTGCCTCCAGCTTCCCAGGAACTGGGTTCACCATAGTGACTGATCCAGATATGAATCCTGACTTCATGGAGCTTAGCCAATATGTTGGCTAATATTTATTACATACTTTGTAGACAATTTAATACCATCATCTCATTTAATCCTCACATCAACCTTGTGATATAAGTACTATTATTATCCCTACTTAAGAGATAGGGAAGACCAGCCTTAGGGAAGTTAAGTATTGTTGGGACAGGCTCCAAAATGGCTGTCGTTAGGCTCCCTTGCTGAGACTTCCAGCAGGCTATGTTACATTTTTAGTGTGTAGCTAGGGCTGTAGACCGACTGTGTTAGGGTTAGTCAAGGCCAGAAACACTCTGATTCAGCATATATTTTCAAGGTCATAAACACTAACTTGTGAGCATGCGCCTCCTTATGTAACCTGTTGGCAGAGTGCCTTCTTCGTTTGGCCTGCATATGAAAAGGGGCTATGGAAAGGGGCTAAATGGGGAGTTAAATGAATTGGCTGGAGGCTGAAGGTGAAGCTCAGGGTTGGCTAATGGATATGGCCGCCTCTGAATAAAGGATGACCAATATTCCACCGTGCCTCTCATCTTCTTCCACCTGCCAAACTTTGAGTCTATTTCCTGGATCGGATGACTTGACAAATATCATGACTAGTAAATAAGTTACTTGTGGGGATAAATAGATAATAGACAAATTAGTGAGGGGGAGTGTCCTATTAGTAAGTAAGTCCACATATTAGAGCAATGATAGCCTTTGTGGTCTTTGAACATCCATGCTTCTAAGCTAAGTAGCAAAAAAAAAAAGAAACTGGCCTTGGATTGGGGATATTTCCAAGGATTTCTTCTGAATTCTCACTCACCCTTTTGTTTTTCCCTAGATCCTGAAAGGATGAACTTGATGAGCAAACTAGAGGGCCTAGGTACACCTTAGGTATACCTAATCCTGACCTTTACACTAGCATGTATTTAACTTCTCGGGACCCCATTATTCCTTGGAGGCATTGATATCCTCAGGTTTGTGAGATTTGTTGAAACAAACATGTGCCATCCTTAAGAGTTACCATTTGGGAGCTTCCAAACAAAATTTGTATGTTGAAGTCTTAACCTCCAGTGTCTCAGAATGTGACTATATTTGTACATGGGGACTTTAAAGAGGTAATGGAGTTAGGATCATTAGAGTAGGCCTTGATCCAATATGACTGGTGTCCTTATAAGGAAGAAAAATTGGGACCCAGACATATATACAGAAGGAAGACCATGTGAAGTCACAGGGAGAAGATAGGTGCTCATCTGCACACCAAGGAGAGAGGCCTCAGAAGAAACCAAACCTATCCTCAGACTTCTAGCATACAGAATCATGAGAAAACAAATTCCTGTTGGTTGAGCCACTCCCTTTGAGGTACTTTATTCTGGCAGCCCTAACTAATACTTCTAAAAGGGTTTGACTTTTCAATTAGATATACTAAATGTAGATTAATATAGTAGAAAAAATAATAAATTTTCACAGTGTAATTTCTTGGTACTATCAATTATATTCCATTAAGGAGTAAGCATCCAGAAATTCAGCATCGTGGCCTTTGTACATTTGGTGGCAGTTGACAAAATGAATATGGCTTTGGGCCATCTTCTAATCAAAATCAATTCATCAATATGTAAAATGAATATAACTGCAGAGTTTTTCTCCATGAAACCCATAATAAAAGTTACATAAATGGGGAGATTTAATCATAAACTCAAAAGTCATAAATTCACAAAATCTGATTTTTTTTTTACCCAAAAAAACATTTTGGAGGTTCCTCTTCCTTGTGTATTAGATGCAGAAATTATGGAACAAGATTATATAGGGAAAAAAAGAACAGGAAAAAGCATTCAGTGGATTTTAATTAAGATGTTATTTTTTGAGTGCTGCACTTTTCTAGAGGAAAAC